TTGGGGGCTCACTGAGGGTGCAGGTGCCTTGCTCTGCTCCCAGTGAGGCCGGGTTTGGGGGAAAAGGTGATGGGTATTTTTAAAGTCTATTTTATTTTTTTGGAGGGAGGCGGGCACACCAGTGATGCTCAGGGATTACTCCTGGCTCTGCACTCAGGGATCACTCCTGGCAGTGCTCAGGAGACCCTATGGGATGCCAGGAATCGAACCCGGGTCAGCCTCATGCAAGGCAGACACCCGACTCACTGCACTATCGCTCCGGCCCATTTTTGTTGTTGTTGCTGTTGTTTGTTTGCTTTTGCTTTTGGGGTCACACCCAGTGATGCTCAGGGGTTACTCCTGGCTCTGCACTCAGGAATTACTCCTGGTGGTGCTCAGGGGACCCTATGGGATGCTGGGAATCGAACCCGGGTCGGCTGCGCACAAGGCAAACGCCCCCCCCCGCTGTGCTATTGCTCCAGCCCGTTGTTTGTTTATTTATTTATTTATTTATTTATTTATTTTGCTTTTTGGGTCACACCTGGCATTGCACAGGGGTTATTCCTGGCTCTGCTCTCAGGAATTACTCCTGGTGGTGCTCAGGGGAGCATATGGGATGCTGGGAATTCAACCTGGGTTGTTTGTTTTTTAAAGCCTTTCTTTTCTTGGTTTTTGTTTTGGGGCCATACGCTGCAGTGCTCAGCACTCAGGAGTCACTCCTGGTGGGCTTGGGGGAACTACAGGGGATGCCGGGACCCGAGCCGGGTGGGCTGGAGCGGGACCCGTGGCGTCTCTGTCCTGAGACCTCTCCTTGCTCCTGGTCTTGCTCTCCTGCGACCGTTCCTCGGCGTCTCACCCCGCTCTCCGCGTCTGTGGCTGTCCTCACTCCTCTCCAGGCGGCCCTGTCTCCTGCCTTCTGCCATTGGGCTCTCTCCAAACCCACCCTCTGTGCAGACCCTCCCCTCCCAGGCCGGAGCTGTAGTGCCTCCTCTGCCTCCCGCAGCCTGGGGACCCGCCTTGTGACTCGCGTGGCCGGGACCTGTCTGAACAGAGGGATGGATGACGCGGTCCCGGGGCCCTGCGGATCCGGGCGCCAGGAGCCGCCTCCTCCGTCATCATCTGCTTAGATTTATTGGATACCCCTTGGGTGCTAAGTCGTCTCACCCTCCAGCCCTGAAATCCAGCTGCTGCCTCTCCAGCAGCTGTTGGAGTGCTGGGGTGTTGGGCTGAGTTCTGTGTTGGTTTGCTGGGGACCCCCTCTGGCAGGGGCTGCTCCTGGCTGTGTGGCTCAGGGACCACGCCCAGGGGTGCCCGGGAGGGGGGTCCTGGCAGAGGCTCTCTCTCCTCCCGGGCAGAAGTTTTAGGAGCTTCCATTACTCTTTCTGTGATTATTTACTACAAACGATGTGTGAGATATCAAGGCTGGCGGGTTCAGCGACAGAGACAGGGATTGTCCGTCCGTTGGTTCAGCTGAGGTGCCTATAGGTACTCCATCCCGGCTCCTTTCCTGATGCCGTGAGACCAGAGGAGATACTGCAGAGTGGGTGGGATGGAATTCCTGGAGAAAATGGACTGTGAGGCTGGGATGGGGGGAAGGGTTGGGGGGGTCTCCTTAGGTGAGGCGTAAGAAGGACAAGGCCGGGGAGATGTGAGGGAGTGCTCGGGGTGACCTGCCCTTTGTGCTCTCGGCACAGATCGGCGCCTTCTCCATGCAGTTCATTCTCTAGATGCGGAAGATGTAGTAAAAAATCTTCAGAGTAGGGGTCAGAGAGTCCGAGGGGTAAGACGCGTGCTGTACACGCAGCCCTGCTGCTGGACTCTGCCCTGAGCACCGCCAGATGTGGCGGCAAGACCCAAATAAATAAAAGGTAAAGGTAAAGGCCCTCCCGTTGATCGTCGATTTGCTCGAGCGGGCCCAGTAACGTCTCCATTGGAGACTTTGTTGTTACTGTGTCTGGCATATCGAATACTCTCGGTAGCTTGCCGGGCTCTCCGAGAGGGGCGGAGGAATCGAACTCGGGTCGGCCATGTTGGCCGCTTGTAAGGCGAACGCCCTACCCGCTGTGCTATCGCTCCAGCTCCGTGGCGCAATGGATAGCGCATTGGACCCAAATAAATAAGTGAATAAAATAAAAGTTAGGCCAGGGAGCTCGTACAGCAAGTAGGGCCTGCTGGCCTTGCACGGGGCTGACCCATCGGTGTGTCCCTGGCAGCCCACCTGCCCCCCCGGGGCCCTGCCAGGAGAGATCCCTGAGCGCAGAGCCAGGAGGAAGCTCTAAGCATACCATGGGGCATACGGCCTCCAAACCAAAAATAAACCAAAGCTGGGGGCAGGGATAGTACTGAGTTTAAGATATCTGCCTTGCAGGGCTCCGACCCTGATTCCGTCCCTGGCACCGTCACGGTGACCCTAAGGACAGCCACCACGCACACCTGGCAAGGTGGAAAGTCCGTGCCTTTATGAAGTCTTGCTCAGTAAAGGTGGTGACATGAACTGCTGCCACATGGATCGAGCAGAGAAGGGAGGGAGGGAGAGAGAGAGAGAGGAAAGTGAGAGAGAAGGAGGAGAGAGAGAGAGAGAGGAGATGGAGAGAGAGAGGTTTTTCTCTTAAAGGGACGGTCGGGGAAAGCCTCTTCTGTAAGGCCTGAGCCAGCAGGGACAGGGCGAGGCCCCATCCCCCAGACCCAAGGAGGAGGGACCCCCCAGGCCGAGCGCAGGGCCTGGCTGGCTGAGAGCAGCTGCTGGGCAGGGCTCGGGGCCTCTGTTTGAATAAAGTCACGTTCCACTCGAGTTCTGTGAAAATGTGGAGGGAACAGTGCCCTCAGAGGCAGGAGGAGACCACGGGTGTGACTGAGGGACAGCAACGTGCGCTTGGCCGTGGACGTGCTCAGGGAGAAGGTTGGGGAGGGGGGGTTTGAGATGCTCAAGGCCGGAGGTAGCGGGTTCTCCTGGGCCTCAGCTCCTCTTTTTTTTTTCCTTTTGTGGGTCACACCTGGCAATGCTCAGGGCTTCCTCCTGGCTCATGCACTCAGGAATCTCTCCTGGTGGTGCTCGGGGGACCCTATGGGATGCTGGGAATCGAACCCGGGTTGGTCCCGTGCCAGGCAAACGCCCTCCCCGCTGTGCTCTCGCGCCAGCCCCTCGGCTCCTCTTAGAGCAGGTCCCCTGGGAGCTGTGGCAGCCGAGAGCAGCCAGGGCAGAGGGTGAGCCGGAGCCCAGGGATGCAACACGTGTCTGGGAAGATTCCGGAAAGAAAGACGCGGGAAGAGAAAGGCGTGGGGAGTGCGTGTGCATCCTCTGGATGTCTGAGGTGGGCTGAGGATCCCTGGGGGGGGACGACATAAACTCGGCCTTTGGGGACGTAAACTCGGCCAGGGAGGCAGAGGGCCCCGGGCACCGCGGGCAGGGCTCGATGCTCAGGTGCTCCCGGCAGACGGGCGAGGGAGGCTCGCACCCGGCCCGGCCCCATGTTCCTCCCCCAGGGCTGCTCCACTTCCTTTTCCCTTGAGCATCTCAAGCTGGAAGAGTTGGGGGGGGTGTCCAGGGTCCCAAGCGCCCCCGCACAGTGGCTCTGGCCTGGCCCCGTCTCCCCTCTCCCGGCTGGTCCGTTTCCCGACTGGCTTCACGGCTTGTTGCTTCTCTGCACGAGCACAGGGCACTGCTACAGTCGGACGCTGTTTTTAACGACTGTGGTAGTGGCAGTCTGACCCGGGCGGTGTTGGGTGAAAAGGTTGAAATTAATGGTCGGCTGAAATTCCAGAATCGTCGTACGGATGGCAACGTTCCTCTGACCGTGGTTTTGAATAAGCAGCCGGCGACTAAACATGTCCATGCTCAGCTCTGCGCCTCCCCACGCTGCCCATCTCAGTCAGTACCTCCTGCTCCTCGTCCTCTTCCTCATCCTCCTCCTCCTCTTCTTCCTCCTCTTCCTCGTCCTCTCCCTCTTCCTCCTCCTCCTTGTCCTCCTCTTCCTCGTCCTCTCTCTCTTCCTCCTCCTCTTCGTCCTCTTCCTCGTCCTCTGCCTCTTCCTCCTCCTTGCCCTCCTCTTCCTCGTCCTCTGCCTCTTCCTCCTCCTTGTCCTCCTCTTCCTTTTCCTCCTCTTCCTCCTTTTCGTCCTCCTCTTCCTCGTCCTCTTCCTCCTCTTCCTTTTCCTCTCCTCCTCCATTCCCTCTGGTTCTCCTACCAGGCATCAAGCTAAGGTGGGATTTTTTTTTCCTTTTGGGCCAGACCCGGCAATGCCTAGGGGTTACTCCTGGCTCTGCACTCAAGCATCACTCCGGGCGGTACTGGGGTAGTTGGCATAGCGGGTGCCAGTTATCCATCCTGGGTTGGCAGCATGCAAGGCAAAGCACCTTCTCCACTGGACGATCTCGGGTTCTGGACTCGAGCAGGAAGCAGCTGTTGGTGCTGCCCCAGCAGCCTTAGCTGAGGAAGAGTTGGAAGGGGGTGTTTTGAAATCAAGGCTTGCAAGGCGGGCTGGGTGCTGAAGCATCAGCAGAGAGATGCGCCCGCCGGCCGCCGAGAGGGTGCTTTGGGGCTGGCTGGATTGGTGGAGAAGCGGAAGTCGGGGGTGGGTGGGAGAGGTCCTGGGCTCTAAGGACCTTTGAGACCGCTTCTGAGACCTGAGGGGGGATGGGTGGTCCCAGGACCGGGGATCTGCTGAGGTTTTGTCTGAAGAAAAAGAAGCTACAATTCTAGATGCAGGAGAGCATGACAGAACCTCCCGCCACCAGACCAGACTCGGCCATCGGGGGCTCTGGGCTGCTGGGTGGGGCCGTCCCAGGGCGCGTGGGCTGGGGAGGGGGGGAGGGGCGAGACCCTGGTCTGCACTGGGGAAAGCTGTGAGGTGGGTGCGTGGGAAACCCACACTTGTCAGCCCCCGCCGGTTGGTTAATCCTCTCTTCCCGTCTCTGTCTTCCCCAAACCTCTCCCCACCCCGTGCCCGACCCCCCCATTGCGCCCCCTGTGCGTCTCTGCCCGCCCCGTCCCCTCGTGTCTGGCCACGCCCCCCCACCCATAGAGGGGAAGATGTACGGCTCGGACGAGGAGAAGCCGGAGGCGCCCGCGGGAGACCCCAGCAGCGAGCCCGAGGAGGAGGGGTCCGGCGAGAGCGAGGACGACGGGGGTTTCCTGGACGGTTCCGCCGGGGGCCCCGGGGGGCCTCTCCTGGGCCCCAAGCCCAAGCTGAAGGGAGGCCTGGGGCCCGGCGCCGAGGAGGGGGCCGCGGGGGCCGCGGGGGTGCCGGCGGCGCCCGGGGGCAAGAGCCGGAGGCGCCGCACGGCCTTCACCAGCGAGCAGCTCCTGGAGCTGGAGAAGGAGTTCCACTGCAAGAAGTACCTGTCGCTGACGGAGCGCTCGCAGATCGCGCACGCCCTCAAGCTCAGCGAGGTGCAGGTCAAGATCTGGTTCCAGAACCGCCGCGCCAAGTGGAAGCGCATCAAGGCGGGCAACGTGAGCAGCCGCTCGGGGGAGCCCGTGCGGAACCCCAAGATCGTCGTGCCCATCCCCGTCCACGTCAACCGGTTCGCGGTGCGCAGCCAGCACCAGCAGCTGGAGCAGGGCGCCCGGCCCTGAGGGGGCACGGGCTGGCTGCCCGTCGGCCGGGACCCCCACCCCAGCCCAGCCCAGCCCAGCCCACCCCGGGGCCCAGGCGCTGGAGGGACAGGAACCGAGGGGGCGCCCTGGGCGGGGGTGGGCCCGGGGGCGTGTCTCAGCTCCATATTTATTTGATGTAAAGTTTGTACATACGGAGTTTCTGCCTCTGATCTGTCCGTCCCGGGCGGGGGATGGGAAGCCCGGTGCCCCCCAGCGGGGTGTGGGACGCGGGCACCAGGGCCCGCGCCGTTTCCCCGCCCCAACGCCCGCTACCTCGGCCCCGTTTCCTGCTCTGGAGGGGGCAGCACAGACACTCCAGGTAGGTCCACCTGCCCAGCCCGAGGCTGGACGCAGCAGCTGACCTGGCCAGTCCCTGGTACGCCACCAGGAAAGGACCCCAGACTGCCCGGGCCCGTGCAGGAGCCAGGGGTGGGGATGGAATCAGAGACCCCCATTAGGGAGCCGCGTGTGCGCCCCAAGTCTGTGCAGGCCCAGAGGGGTGTGTGTGGGGTGGGCAGCTGCCTGGGCCAGAACCTGAGGCCGCAGTCAGCACTCTGAGCACTGGAGGAGCAGTGACCAGTGAGCGGGGGGACACGGCCTTGGGAGCGTCAGGGAAGGGGCTTCACAGGGAGGCTGTGGGCCGCGTGGGCCAGGGAGACAGTAGCAGGCAGCGGGCAGCAGACAAGGGCCCGGGCAGGCCCAACTCCGGCCTGGTCTGTCTCTCCCTCAAGACGGCAGAGCCACCAGCTCTGCTTGTTCCGGGGACGCCCCCGGGCGACACTCGGCCTTTCTGGGGCTGGTCTGGGCCTCTGAGCAGAGTGTGACCTGGGGTCTCTGTCCCCAGCCTGGACACGTGTGAGTAGCCTGAGGGGCGGGGTGGGGGGCGGGCAGGGGTCTCTATCCTTAGGCTGGATTCTACGCGGGGTTGCCCTGGCCCAGCCCTGCCCGGGCAGCTCCAGAGCAGGACGAGTGAGGGTCCCTGGGGCGCTCTAGAGCCAAGGCCCAGCCATTCCACTGTCCTTGGACGTTAGTGGGCCCCGAGATGGCGCAGGGTCCCCCACTCGGCTCCTTCCTGTAGGGCTGGGAGGTGACTTCTGCTGGTCTTCATGACCTGGCGCCCGTGGCTGCCTCTGCTCTGCCCTCAGAGAAAAGGGCCCCAGCCTGGCCAAGAGGCTGCCGCGAACCAAAAAAGAAATAAAGCCCGGTCTCCCCTCCGCAGTTACTTGGTTATTCACGCCCGCGTGGGCAGGTGCCTCGAGTGTGCCAGTCCGACCTGTCCTGCCGGGGCACGGTCAAGCCCGGCACGGCAGCCCCAGGCTCTGGGCTGCTCGTCTCCAGGGACCGCATGCCACGCCGAGGCCTCAGCGCCTGCCGGGCCGGGTCTGGGTGGACGGCGGCCCGGCCGGCAACCCTGGTCCTGTTCGTCCCCGAAGTGCCAGGCCGGGCCCCACGGGGGACAGCGCTGAGAGCCAGGTCCAGAGCCATGGACGCCGCCGCTGCCCCCCCGACAGCCAAGGGAGAGACGCAGGCGGCCCGGGGGTCCTCGCGCAGAGCGGGCAGCAGGGACCCAGGCCGCACACACAGTCTGTTTTATTGGCTCCTCAAACACGCACACCGGTCTGTACACGAACATAAATATTCCAATGTACACATTTACACGGGACTCCCCGGCTGCCCCCTCCACTCCAGGCCGCGCCCCACGGTGCTCGTGGGGGCACCGGGGGCTCAGGGGGCTGCACCAGGAGGGCGGAGTCTGGAGGAGGACGAGATCCTGCTCTCTCTCCTCACGGCCTCTCCTCCGGAGGGTCCTGTCCCTTCTCCAGGGCGCCCCCTCCTCCTCCTCGTCTCCGCGGGTCCCTCTCCTTCGCCGTGGAGTCCGGGGGGCCTCAGAGGAGGCTGGGGCTGCGGTGCAGCTCGCCCGAGCTGTTGGCGCCGCCGCCGGCGGGGTCCCGGCTCGGGGTGGGCGTCAGGCCGCAGCCCTCCCCGGGGCAGCCGTGCTGGATGAGGATGTCGGCACACTCCTGGCTGCCGGCGCGGCGGGCGTAGGCCAGCGGGGTCAGGCCCCGGGCGTCCCGGCTCCTCACGTCCACCCCGTACTGCGGAGGAGAGCGGGGCGGTCAGCGGGGCGGTCGGCGGGGCGGCCCGGGCAGGGCGGGGCGGGGCGGGGGGCCCGCACTCACCCAGATGAGCAGCTGCGTGAAGACCACGTTGGCCATGGCGCTGGACAGGTGCAGGGCCGTGCGCCCGTCGCCGTCGCCGTAGGTCTCGTTCACCTCCTCCTTGGAGCCGTGGGCCAGCAGCGTCACCAGCAGCCGCAGGTCGTCCTCCACCACGGCCCGCAGCAGCTGCTGCCCCAGCGGCACGTCGGAGCTCGGCAGCGGGGCCAGGAAGAGCTTCTGCTCGTACTTGGCACGGATCCAGCGCTCCTTCTCCTCCCTGCAACGCGGGCCGGGCCGTGAGCCGGGCGGGGGCCCCGGGGACGGGGACGTGGGGGTCGGGAGGGCAGCCAGGCCGCGGCGGGCGCCCGGGGAGCCTTATCTGGCCGTCTGAACTCCCCCCGATTGGCAGGGCCCGAACAAAGCGGGCCGGCCCGCGGGGGGCCCAGGAACCGGCCTATCTCCCGTCCTTTCTCCCCGCATCTCGCGGAGATAGGGCCGCGCGCATGCGCCCGCCACGGGCCCCTGACCCGCTGATAAGGCCAGAAAGGGCCTGTTGTTGCTTGCGAGGGGCTGAGTGACAGGCGGGGGAGGGGCGGCCCCAGGGGCCCAGCCGCCCGCAGCCACTTTTAACCCTTGCCGCCCTGCACCCCCCGCACCGCCACCCTCCCCCCCCCACGGGGCACGGCAGCTCCCCCATTGAGCTCTGCCCACCTGCAGGCGTCCGGCCCGGGCTTGGCGTAGCCGTCCAGGGCCCCTTCCCAGACGCTGTTGGCCAAGGTGTTGCCCATCGCGGTCATGACGGCCAGCAGCTCGGGCGGCCAGTCGTCGAGGTCCAGGGAGCGGACGCGGGACAGGTGGGCACCCAGGTGCCGGTGGGTGCCCGAGCACTCGATGCACATCAGGGCGCCCAGGTTCAGGCTGGCCCAGTCCGGATCTAGGCGGGGAGAGGCCGTGTGAGCCCAGCATGGCGGCTGCGGGCGTGTCCGCCTGGTGGACAGTCCCTGGGCCCGTCCAGGCTCCTCTAGACTGTCCGCGCCATCCCGCCACTTATTGGGAGCATCTAGGCCGCCCACCCGGCCCCACCCCTGCCTGCCTGCACTCACTGGGGGCACCTAGGCCGCCCGCCTGACCCCACCCCTGCACTCACTTGGGGCATCTAGGCTGCCCGCCCGCCTCACCCCTGCACTCACTGGGGGCACCTAGGCCGCCTGCCTGACCCCACCCCTGCACTCACTGGGGGCACCTAGGCCGCCCGCCCGCCTCACCCCTGCACTCACTGGGGGCATCGCAGTCGATGCAGAAGCTGTTGCCGCGGACGGTGCGGACGGCCTGCACGGCCAGGGCTGCGTTCTGGTTCCCCAGCCGAGTCTGCAGTGGGGGACACGCACAGGGTGGCCGGTGAGGCACAAGGCGGCGGGGGGTGTGTGTGTGTGGGGGCACCCGCGTCCCTCCAGGCCCCCGGCCCACCTTGTCCTTGGCGCTGCGGCAGCCCTGCAGGCTGGCGAGGATCTGGGCCTGCACGCTCTGCACCCACAGCTCCCGCTCCTCTGCTGTCGACGCCTCGAAGTGCCACGTCTGGCCCGTGAGCGACACCACCACGAACTCGAAGGACTCCTCTGCGTCTGCAGGGATGGGCACAGTCACCGCCCCGGGCACGCGCATGCCCCAGGCCCCTCGCCGTGGGTCTCGGGGCACCTGCGGAGCCGGGAGGGGCGCATCGCGGCACACAGGGCTGCGGGGGGGGAGGCGGCCGCGGGCACCATCCGTACATGTCAGCCGCCGCCGCCTCATTTTGCAGCTCATTAAACCCAATATTCCTGCCGGCGTCAGCGCGGGCTCCGGGGAGCGGCCCCTCCCCCACGGCCCTGGCACGGGCGGGCGGGAAGGCCCAGTGGACGGGAGGGGCGTGGGCAGGGGCCCGGGGCCTCTCTGTGGCCGGCGCTGCAGGCTGGGCGGGGGCCGGGGCCCAGCCCACCCCCTCTTGCACCCCAAGCGCCCCCGGTGAACTGCCCCCTCCGAGGGATGAGGGGTGGTGAGACGGGACCGGGTCCCGCCGGGGTGGGTGGGGGGTCCCAGGCACACCCCTCCCGGAGCCGCTTCCCACTGCCTTCCTCCACGACCCCGTCTCGCCCAGCTGCCTGCCAGTCCACTCCACCTGCCGCCGGCGCCCAGCAGCTCATCCCGGCCCTGGCCCTGACGTGCTCGGGCCACCCAGCAAGGCAGTCCGAGTCCAGTGGTGGGCGCCAAGGCCCAGTAGCCACAAGGACGCGGGGTGGAGGAGAGTGGGGCTCCCTCAGCCCCAGCCACCGACACGTGCAAGATTAAGCACCTACTGTGTGCCGACAGACAGACAGACAGACACACACACACACACACACACACACACTTCCCACCCGCTGGCGGGAGACAAGAGAATTGGAACACGGGTCCTGCGCACGACGAGGGGGGTGGGGGGGGCAGCCTGCATATGTGCCCTCAGCGGGCGGGTCAGGGACGCAGTCAGGGCTCCCGGGCTGGGGTCCCCAAGCTCCGCTGCCCGGGGTCCCCCTAACCTTCAGCGGCACCACTGGGGACGTCTGGCCCTGGGGTGGGGGGTGGGGGTTGCTGGTGCTCTTTTTCCGCCGGTGCTCCTTCCGGTTGGCGTGGGGAGATGGGGGGTGCTCCAGCTGGGGGCTGGAACTGAGCACTCCAGCGGGGCCACTGGCTGGGAGGGGACGGGGGGGGCGGGGGAGTGTGGGAGGGGGCGCTCTGCCGGGCCCAGGGGGGAGGAGGAGGAGGAGGCGGCAGGCGCGAGGAGGCTGGGGCGGGCGGAGCAGAGGCGGCTGCGGCCCGGGGAACTCGGGGAGCTGCAGCCCCGGCAGCTCGGCACCAAATTTATCCTCAATCACACTCCCCGCTCCTCACAATTAATAGCAGAATTAGAAACAATCAGGGAGCTGCCTAATTACTGTCAATTAGAGCGCGCTAATCAAGCTCCGCTCCCACACCCCGCCCGCCCGGCGCTCACCACTAAATGTCAAACTTCATTAGAGGCAGCCGCTCCCGCCCGCCGCCTCCCCCCTCCCAGACGGGCCGTGGGCCGGGCGCGGGGGCACCTGGGCCCGCGGGGGGGTTGGGGGGCCGGGGGGTCTCCCCGAGTCCCTCTGAGGTCAGTAGTCTCGGGGGGCTGCGTCTACGAAAAGGGGGGCTCTGGCTGGCGTGCGGGAGAGGGGCCTCGCCGGGCACGGCACGGAGGCGACCCCCGGAGAGCCCAGGGCGTGCCCTGCCCGGGAGCAGAGCGGGGAGCCCCCCCAGCTCCCCAGACTGGGCTGCGGGCCCCCCCAGTCTGTGGCGGCGGGTTCCGAGCCCCCCAAGCCTCCGACCGCCCTCTCAGCCGCTTCCCCGTCCCCCTGCAGAGAGGCTGATGAGCTGGCTCCGGGGGGCTGATGGCAGCGATGGCGGGGAGGAGGGTATCCTGCCCGCGGGGAGGGCCGTGGGGGAGGACAGCACCCTCACTCTGTCCCTGGCCGTCCCGGCCGCGTACCTGGGGCCAGGCCAGTGGCCTCACTCCACTGGTCAGCGCTGGACATGGAGCAGGAGGGCAGTGGCAGCCCCTCAGGGCATGGGCTGAGCCGCTGGCCGGTTGGGGGGTTCCTGGGGGTGGCCCGGGAGGGACACGCTGAGACACTTTCTAGGGAACCGGGGACGGTGGGCAGGGCCGAGGGGGACCCCCTTCCCCTGGGCCCCGGGGCCACACCTGCAGCCCCTGCAGGGCTGGGCCGGGAGGGGACAGGGGTGCGGCCCCCCCTGGCCAGGCCACAGATGCCGCTCGCCGCGCCTTCGCGTGGCTGCCATTCTGACGAGAAATAAGTGTATCAAATTCACGTAATTATGTCTAATTAGTATTAGTAATTATCCTGTTGGGCTGGAGAAAATTAATCTTTCGTTTCCCATCAGGGAAGAACGGCAGAGCCGAGGGGAGCCGCAGGCAGGCGGCGGGCAGGGAGCAGCTCTCCCGGCACCTGTGGGCAGCGCCGGGGCTGCCCGCGGGTCCGAGGGGAGAGGCAGGGCCGGGCGGGAGCGGGCGCTGGTGCCCGGCTGTCTCTCCTGCACCGGGCCCAGGACTGCCGCGGACACCCAACGTGCTGAGTGGATGCGCCACGCAGGGCCGCGTCCCCCCGCCCCCCGGCTCAGCCCAGGGTCCTCGGCGCCCACCACACCGGCCTGGCGGGGGCCCCAGACCCGCCCTTCCCGGGCGCCCCCCCTCACCCCTCGCTGCCGAATCTCCCGGCCCGGCCCCACCCAGAGATGCGGCCCGGCCCAAAACCCCGAGGGAGGGCAAGTGCTTTTCCCTTTCTTTGTTAATTCTCCCCTCATTACGCCTGCAATCCCACAATCAGTGTGCACTGTAATTGTCGAATTTGATGCTAATGATTAATGAATTAAACATGGAGCCATCAATTAGTCCTCGGAGGATAATTCTGCATAAAACAGCGGATAATGTAATTACAGTAACAAAGATAATGAGATGTTAACATCGCCGGTGCGCAGACGTGTGTGAGTGCCGGGGTCGCTGTCAGCGCCCGGCCTGCGCTCCGGGCCGGGCCCAGACGTGGGTGAGGCGCCGACTCCCTCCCCGCCCGGCCCGGGTCCCGGCTCCGGGAAACGGTTTCCCTTCTGCCTCCACGCCAGCCGCCGGACGCGATGCGGTCGCCCTTTCCCAGGTGGGCCCCCCCCTACCGCCCAGCCGGCACCCCACCCGCACGAGGCCCTCGGACCCCGCCCCATGCTGGGGGCAACACTGCTCCTCCCCTAGTGGGACCCGGGGCCGCGGGGAGAGGACGAAGCTGGCGTGGCCAAGGCCGCTCAGCCCCTGCCCGGAGCCTCTGACCTCGAGTCTGTCCCCTCCGGACGCAGGGGCAGAAACCCCGACTGCCCCGCCCAGCCTCTAACGGGTCCAGGCGTTCCACAGGGACCCACCATCAGGGCCCCAGACACGTGACGGGGCGTCGGGCTCGACCCCAGCGCCAGCCCCTGGTGTGGCCTCACAGGAGCCAGAGGGTACAGGAGGCCAAGAGCTGAGAGCCTGGCCGGGGGCACAGGTCCCCACGACCGAGACGCTGGGCCCCCCACCAGACGCGCCACCCAGGAGACGATGTCGCGGCCCCCGGCCCGTCCAGCCCCGGCTGCGCCCACGCTCACCTGTGCCCGCGCTCAGCTGCGTGGCGCTGCGCTCCAAGGCCAGCCCGTTGGCGCGGGGGCTGGTGCCCGGCGCGGTGGCCGGCGTGGCGCGGGGCAGGCGCTTCCCCGGGACCTTCACCGTGGTCCGCACCAGGTCGATCTCTTTGCCGTGGATGTTCTGCATGTAGTCCTGGAGGGGGAGACACGCCTCAGCCCCCCGCCGTGCCGGCCGCCCCCCGCCCCGGGCACCCGGGGACGTGCTCGGACAGACGGCGCTCTGGAGGACTGACGGAGCCCCGGGGCGCCCGGCTCAGGACTGAGGGGCACCGCTCTGCGGCCTGGAGACCTTCGGGGTACCCGGCTGTAGGGGGTGGAAGCCGCGGGTAGGACGCCCCCCTCCGGTCCCCCCCGTCCCCCCCACGACCGTCCCAGCTCAGGGCAGGGGCTGTGTTGCCCCCGGTGCACGGAAACCCTCAAGTCCCAGCACTGCTGGGGGGCCAGAGCCCTCCCGGACCCCCAAGCGAGCAGCTGCCCGTCTGCCCGGTCGGTGTCCCGGCTGAGACATGGCTGTGGTCCTGCCGAAGCAGAACCGGCAGCCGGCACTGCCGTGGGGTGCCCATGAGGGACTACGCCCAGTAGGGCCGAGGCTGGGCCGCCCACCTGCCCATACCCTCGGCCTCCTCGCGCTGGGGTGGGCAGCAGCACCCCCGAGAACCCCCCACGGCTCCCCTGCACCTCCACGAGGTACGAGGGCAGGAGAGAGGGACACCCAGCCACGGGCAGGGCAGCCGCTGGCCGTGCCCCTTCCTGCATCCCGACGGCTACGCCAGAGCAGCCCCCAGACCCCAGAGCAGCCCTGGGCCCCCCCACGAGCCGGGCGTGGGCCCCGCTTCCAGCTCGGAAGCCGTGAGTGCCCGGCCACCCCCCAGCCGGACGCGTGGCTCACAGCTGCCCACCCGCAGCTGGCCAGGCTGGAGGCCGCCCCGGGAGGGCACTGACCAGCCGCTCTAGTTCACAAGGAGGTCACCGCGCTTCGGGGCCAGCGCGGGGCAGGGCCAGGGCCGGGGGGAGGGGGCGGGGTGGGGAAGGGGTGGCCAGCCAGGGCCGGGGGCGGGCTCGGGGCCTGGGCGCCAGGTCCCAGCGCCCGGCACGGCCCAGCGCCTGCTCCGAGGAGGAGCCGGCCGGCGAGCGAGCGGCAGGAGCAACAGCGTTCCCTCGTCGTCAGCAGAACGAACGAACGAACGCGGCGGAGGCGCTCGGGAGAGCGGTCACCACGCTGCCTTTATTACCCGCCATCAAACAGCAATTTCTTCCCCAGCCTCCCCGCTAATTACCCAGCCAGCGTTCTCATCTCGTTTTATTACTGGAATTAACAACGAGTTCAGAGCGTGGAAAGCTATTAAGATGTGTGATTAAGCCACATTCAATTAGTTTCTACAAACAATTTAATTGATGTTGCAGATAGAATTAACAGAAGGTGATTGTGTGAATGGCTCCGTTGGCTGCAGCGCGGGGGAGGCTGGGGCGGGCTCTCTCGGGCCAGGCGAGGCGAGGACGAGGGGCCGCCCGGCCCGCCAGCCCGGCCGGGGAAGAGCCGACCCGGGCCCAGGCCTGCCTCTGCCCGGCCACCGGAAGGCGGCCGCGAGGGAGCCGGCCAAGCGCGCCGGGCCGGCGGCAGCAGGGGTACGAGGGGCGGGCAGGGGCAGGCCCTCACCCGGGCCCGGGCTGGGCCGCACCCGCGTGCACGCCCCTGGAAAACAGACCCCGGGCCTGCCCTCACCTACCCCGGGACCCCGAGCGCCCCGCGGCCTGCGGGAGGGCCCCGAGAGCTCAGACCGCCAGTCCGGCCAGGGGCCCACACCCACCGGCACTCGGCCGCACCCTCCTCGCTCGGTGCTGACCCCAGCAACTCAGCTACAGGTGACCACGCCACAACCCGCCTGTCCTCAGCGCCCCTGGCAACACCCCAAGAGCACGCAATACCCCTGCCCCACTGCCCGCGGCCGCCCCGGGGGGCCCGGGCTCCATGGTGGCCCTGGTACTGCCTTGCCCAGGCTCCGTGGCCCCCCACGCACTCCCTACCGCCCGCCCACTGCACCCCCGTCCAGCACCAGCTCATCCCCACAGAGCAAGAGGCTCTGGGGGTGCCCAGAGCCGGGGAGGGGAGCGGGTGTGTGAGCCCCCAGCCCGGCCTGGCTTCCCGGCCAGGACACCCCGGGGGCGGGGTGGGGGGGTGCTGCTACCTTGGCAGGGACCCCGTGAGCGGCCCCCTGGCCCACGTGCTGTGCTTGAGGGGCGGTGCGGGAAGCCATTAGCCCCGCAGTGGGGAGGTGACAGAGACGGATGCTGGTGACAGCTGTCTGGAGCCACGCAGGGTGGCACGGGAGGAGGGGGGGTGGGCTGCCGCCGGCCCCGCCCCCCCGAGACCCACCCTCCCAGCGCAGGTGTCCGCACCCCATTCCTGCCGTCCAGGGGCCCCCGGCCGGCCACACGGCACCCCAACCCCAGCCACCCCGCAAGCTCCCCGTGCCCCCGAGTCCCGCAGACAGGCAGGCGGGCTCCAGTCTGCCCTGCTAGGCCCGCAGGGGACTCACGGCAGGCGGGGGTGGTGGTGGGCGAGCGCCCCGGCCCCCGACTCACGTGCAGGCTGGGGTGGTAGGTGAGCAGCCCGTTGCCGCACAGGGTGACGTATTTCTTCTTCCACTCCTTGTTCAGGGACTTGCCACTGCGCTTCAGCAGGACGCCCTGGGGGACAGAGGGTGGCTCAGTGCCCGGAGCCTGTCCCCGCCGGGCCCAGGGCCACCAACCTGCCCACTGGCGAGGCTGGAGGGGCTGCCGGGACACAGGGCCACTTCCTGTGACGGGGCCACCGGGGTCTTGGGGCTTGGGGGACCTGTCACACACTCAGCCCCCACCAGCCCAGGAAGAGCCAGATGTCCTCAAAGACAAGCCAGTGGACAGTGTGGCCGGGCAGCGCCCTGGGCCCCTGCCGACCTGGGGGGCGGGAAGGAGGACGGAGCAGGGGACAGGCGGGGGCAGTAGGGGGACCACAAGCCTCCTCAGACACGACACCCAGAGGGGACGTGACCTCGGGGCGGGGGGGTGGTACCCAGACTCAGAAGTGGGCGGGAGTCGGGACGGGCACTAGTGGGGAGCGGAAAATACCCCAAATCCCGCCTCTGTGGGATCAGGGCTGGAGCGACAGCACAATGGGGAGGGCACTGGCCTTGCAGGCAACGACCTGGGTTCGATCCCCGGCACCCCAAAGGGCCCCTGAGCACTGCCAGGAGCGACCCCTGAGCATTGCGGGGCGTGACGCAAAACACACAGAACAGAAAGGGCCCCGGAGAGCAGCGCTGAATGGGGTTTTCTGCTCAGGAGCTGAGGCCCGGCCCGAGGGGCAGAGACGGCGGGGGGGGGGGGGGGGGGGGGGGGGGTGCTCCGAGAGAAGGCGGAGGGGCCTCCAGCTGGGCTCCGCCCCCCAGCAGAGAGCTGAGCCCCAGGGACAGGAGGAGCAAAATCTACTGGGGCCTCCTTCCGGGTCCTCCGCCCTCACACACGGGGGCCTCTTGCCCGGACCCCCAGACACACAGGGCCTCCCCCTCCCGGACCCCCAGACACACAAGGGCCTCCCCTGCCCGGACCCCCAGACACACAGGGCCCCCCTCCCGGACCCCCAGACACACAGGGCCCCCCCTCCCGGACCCCCAGACACACAGGGCCCCCATCCCGGACCAGACACACAGGACCCCCCTCCCAGACCCCCAGACACACAGGACCCCCCTCCCAGACCCCCAGACACACAAGGGCCTCCCCTGCCCGGACCCCTAAACACACAGGACCCCCCTCCCGGACCTCCAGACACACAGGACCCCCCCTCCCAGACCCCCAGACACACAGGGCCCCCCCTCCCGGACCCCCAGACACACAGGGCCCCCCCTCCCGGACCCCCAGACACACAGGGCCCCCCCTCCCAGACCCCCAGACACACAGGGCCCCCCCTCCCAGACCCCCAGACACACAGGGCCCCCCCTCCCGGACCCCCAGACACACAGGGCCCCCCCTCCCAGAACCCCAGACACACAGGGCCCCCCCTCCCGGACCCCCAGACACACAGGACCCCCCCCTCCCGGACCCCCAGACACACAGGGCCCCCCTCCTGGACCCCCAGACACACAGGGCCCCCATCCCGGACCCCCAGACACACAGGACCCCCCCTCCCGGACCCCCAGACACACAAGGGCCTCCCCTGCCCGGACCCCTAAACACACAGGACCCCCCTCCCGGACCCCCAGACACACAGGACCCCCCCTCCCAGACCCCCAGACACACAAGGGCCTCCCCTGCCCGGACCCCTAAACACACAGGACCCCCCTGTCTGGTCCCCCCTGCCTGGTCCCTCGCACAGCTGAGAGGGCGCAGTGGTACTGAACACGTGTCATGACCCTCACCCGCCCCCAGAGGTGCCCCCAGGAGAGGCCCCTGACACTCTTGGACCTGGGGGCGCACCTGGCCCAGCCCATCAGGGAGATGCTCGGTTCCCACCCAGGGCTTCTGAAGACGTGGAGGGACCCTCCCCGGGCACCGGGGGCCTGGGACACCCCAGAGGCCCATGAAGGAGCCTTGGTGACTCTGTCCCTCCTCCTGCCCGAGGGGACGGCCGCTGCCCCTTCTACCAACAAATCCTTTGGCCGGGGCCAGAGGCCACGCCCTCGCTGGGACGGGCCGGGGTCGGTGGGCAGCAGGCCGGACGCCCCTGCTCTGCCCGGGCCCGCCACCTGTGTCCCCCTACGCCGAGGGCCCGGGCCTGCCCGCCCGGTCCCAGCCCAGGAGAAGGAGCTCCGGGGGCCCGGCAGCGGGAAGCAGGAAGCAATCTGGGGCAGAATGGGAGCCGCGGAGGCGACAGCCCCCAGAGGACCGTTCCCGCCGCCCGCCTCCCTCCCAGCCGCCAGCCGGCTTAATTGCGGAGTCCGGATTGATTGGGAATGCAAATGGGAACCGACATGCAATCCCGTTCCCAGCAGGAGCGGGGGAGCAGGCAGGAGGGCAGCGCAGGACGGCAGAGGTGCCCGCCCCAGTGCCCTGCCGGGGACCTGCCTGGAGGGGCAGGGGCCGCCCCCACCCCCCCGCCCCGCTCCACGTGGGGGGCTCCGGTCCCGGCCACTCCCACCCACACGGGGGCCGGGAGGGCAGCAAGGCCCCAGGGCAGGGCCATCAACAAGTGTGAGGGGACAGGAGTGTCCCCAGGGGCAGAGCAGGAGCCGGCCCCAGCCGGAGCCAGGCGGACAGCCCTCCCTGCGACCCTCACGCACCTCCAGGACACAGAGCCAGCCAGCGGGGAGGGCGCTCGCCTCGCACCCACCCAGCCCTCCCGAGGTCGGGCACCCCGCAAGCCCCCGCCAGGCCCACCGGGAGTGACCCCTGCATGCAGAGCCAGGAGGAAGCCCCCAAACTGAGAGAGTAAGTAGATGAATAACGACAAATGCACCTCCAGGGCCAGGAAAGCCGCCCCAGCGGGGAGGGTGCGTGCCCCGCACACGGCAGAGCTGGGTTCAATCCCCGGAGCCACTGATCCTGCGAGGAGAGCCAGGAGTGACCCCTGGGCACCACCAGGTGTGGACCGAAAACCAAAACATAGTTTTTTTTTTCTTGCTTTTTGGGTCACACCCAGCTGTGCACAGGGGTTCCTCCTGGTTCTACACTCAGGAATTACCCCTGGCGGTGCTCAGGGGACCATATGGGATGCTGGGAATCGAACCCGGGCCGGCTGCGTGCAAGGCAAACGCCCTACCCGCTGTGCTATGGCTCCAGCCCCCAAAATCCAAAATATAAAGGGCAACGCAGCCCCAGCCGGGGCGGGTGCTCAACCAGGACACCTCGGCTCCAGCCCCCAACCCCCCGAACTCGCTTCCCTCTGCATCCTCTGTCTGGGGGTGCAGGAGCAGGGGAGGGGAGGGGGGGCTCCTAGCCTCCCCTAGGTGGGCAAAAGCCGCCCACAGAGATGCCGCGGCTGGCGGCTCTCTGCTGCCGCCCGGTGGTGGCGAGGAGGTACTGGCGGCTGGGCCGGGCACGTGGGCCAAGGGCGGGAACCCAGCGGCCGGCTGCCCCGTGCGCTCGCTGATACCGATACCGGGCCCGGCTGACCTGCTTGATGGGGATGGCCCGGCCGCTGCCGATGCTGTCCACCTTGCCCTCGGCCGCCTTCTTCTCCCGCTCCAGGTCGGCGCCCTTGCGAGACTGGAAGAGAGCAGACGGCGGGCCGGTTAGCGCGGCCCCGCGAGGGCGGACGGACGCAGCTTCCCGGCGGCCTGCTGCCCGCCCTCCCCGCCACCCTCCTCCGGGCAGGCCCGAGCCGTGGGCAGGGCCGGGGCGGCGGGACCGGGAAGGAACGGAGACCACGAGTATTCCAACGGGTTTATTCTTACACACGGCACCATACAGAGCAGCACGGGGCACGGAGCCGCGCCCGCCCCTTACAGAAGACACGGACACGAGAAACCGGCGCGGGTGCGCGGCCCGGGGGGGCGGGAGGGGGGCCTAAGAGGGCAGCGGGCCAGGAGGCGGCCGGAGAACGGGGGCAGAGGCCTGGGGGGCGGGGAGGGGAGGGGGGGGGCGCCAAGTCCAGAAGTGAGCGGGCAGCGGCGTGGCCCGAGGGGCACAGTGGATGGAGAGAGAGAGGAGAGAGGGCCCGAGAGAGCCGCGCCCCGGCCAGGCTCCGAAGGCGGATCCTAGGAAACGGGGCCAAAGAGGGGAAAGGCAAGCGCGGCGAGGCTGCGGCGTCCGGCGGAGCAGGAACGCAGAAGTCCATGCAGGAAGGAGCAGAGGAAGGGGCGGGGAAGCTCCCGGGCGCTCGGACGCCCGCCCGTCGTCTCCATGCAGCGGGCCTGGCGGGGCGGCGTCCAGCCGGGGCAGCGTCCCGGCCGCCCCCCGCCGCCGCCGCCGCCGCCGCCTAGCCTTCCCTGGGGGGGTTAGTTACAAAGGTTCCTGTGGGCGTCTGGCGCGGGAGCTCGCGGCAGGCCCCGCGCCCGGCCCGCCGCCACTGCTCAGGGGACAGTGTCCAGAGGTGCTCTGTCACCAACTGGTCTTCTAATTTGGAAGGAGTTGGAAAGGCCTTTTTGTTGATGAAAAGTTGGAAACAGTGGCACATATCTGCAAATATCGAAAGAATAGAGATTTTGGCAAGTTAGACTCAAGCCCCGCCCGAGTCGGTCAGCAGCGTTGAGGGCAGAGACAGGCGCCTGGGGAGCAGCAGGATGAAGAGGAGGAGGAGGAGGAGGAGGAGGCGGAGGAGGAGGAGGAGGACACGGAGGAAGGACGGGTGCGGGGCGGGGGGACGCGGAGGGGCTCAGCGGGGGCCGTTCTCCACTCGGCAGCCCGGACCCCACACCCGCCCACACCTCCCGGGCCACCAGGACCGCAGGGAGGGGACAACGGAGTGTCACCACGGCCGGGGCCCGACGGAGCCACAGAAGGCCCCCAGCCCGCCGTCAGCGCCTGCCCCGCAGGCCCGGCGGGGAGGCGACGGGACCGCCACACCGGGTCCCCGGACCCAAGAGCTAATCGGGGCGAGCGGGCTTCGGCCCACCTCGGCCGGGCCAAGAGTCCCCCCACCCCCCCGACCAGGGGAGCCCCGGGAGCTCCGAGGGGCGCCCCCCCGGGATGGGAGCCGGGCAGGAGCGGGAACGGGAGGACTGAACGGAGGAATGGGGACAGGCACGGCCCAAGGGGGCACGAGACCCGCCACGGAGCAGGTGAGGCTCCACCGGGGAGGACGATGGCAGGACAGGTGGCCCCGACAGTGAAGATGAGAGGGGGGAGAGGGGTCCCGAGATGCACCCCGAGAGACGGCCCCTTCGGGGGGGGGCGGAGGCGCAAGTGAGGTCACCATGGAGACAACGGAGAGGAAAGCTCGGGCCGCCCCGGGCGGGCGGATGGAGGGCGGGGGCCCGAGCTCGGCCGTGCGCAGCGAGCGGGGGGATGCGGCGGGGAGCACAGCCAGTGGTGGGAGCACGGGGAGCCCCGGGCGGGCACCGGCCGGGAGAAGCGCCCGCGGGAGCCGCCCCGGGCAGCCCAGGAGCGGCAGGAGGAGGGTGGGAGGCAGCGGCCGCGGGGGACGAGGACGGAGGGAGAGAGGCGGCGAGCAGGGCAGCGGCCCGAGAGCGCGGCAGGGGTGCAAGCAGACAGCCAGGCGCGGAGGCGGGAGGGCAGCGGGGCACGAGGCAGGCAGGCCGGGCGGGGCGGGCGGGCGCCAAGGCGCGGGGGGGCGGGCTCCCCAGGGCCCGGTGGCCCGCGCGGGGCCGAGCGCCCAGCCCTGACACTCAGAGAGACGGAGAGACGGGGCGATCTCCGGCGTGTCCGCACGGGCCGCGCACCCACCTGTGTCTGCCCCAAGACTCCCGGGAGGGTCCAGCCGGGTCCCAGCTGGAGGGGGGAGAGTTGGGGGTGGACGCTGCGTGTCAGGCCCAGCCGGCGGGGGGCCCTAAGAGCCCGGGGGCGGGGAGGGGGTCCCGGGCACTCGTGCGTGCGGGGCAGGGGCCGGCCGGGACCGGAGGCTGACCGGGAGAGTCCCGGCCACCTGGGGGGCACAGAGGGCGGACGAGGCCCGGGTTCCGGCCCCCCTCCAGACCCGGGGCGGGGCTCCCCGGACGCGCTGGGCCCCGCGGGGAGGGGGCCGTGTGCGGGGCGGGGGGCTCGGCGGAGGAGCCTGCGTGCTGGCGGAGGGCGCGGGCGCCTGGGGGCTGCGGGGGGGCCGCGGCGCCCCTCGGCCTGCCGGGCTCGTACCGTGAAGATGTTGGAGCGGCGTTTGGACTGTTTGCGCGTGGGGGTGGGGGTGGAGGAGGCCGCGATGGTCTCGATGCGCACCTCCCGCTGCCCGATGCTCGGCGTGGACGGGACAGACGACGAGTAGTCGCTGAAGGCGCCGCCGCCGTTGGTGGCCTGAGGACAGAGACGCAGCTGAGGGCGGGCGGGGGCCAGGCGGGGGCCGGGCTCTGGGCGTCCAGGGGCCGGAGGCAGGGCTGGGCGAGAAGCAGCCCAGGGGTGGCCTCCCCAAGTGTCCCCCGGGGGCAGTGGGCATGTGAAAGGCAGGGGGGAGGAGCTGGGGTCCGGGCAGGGTCAGGGGAGAGGACAGCCGTCTGAGGACAAGACAGCCTGTGTCCACACTGTCCCGGCCACTCACTGCCCGCGTCCTTACTGCCCTGTTCACGGCTGCATCCCAACCACTCCATTCACCCACTGCCCACCTTCTACAAGCCCTGGCTGCTTATTGCTCCTGTCCCAACGGCCCATCCGCTCACTGGCCACGTCCCAACTATCCCATTCGCTCGCTGCCCGCGTCCCAACTGCCCGGCCGCTGGTGCTCCCAGGGGAACCCCGCTGTGCCTGCAGGCGGAATCACTCGGGAGCTGGTCCACACAGACCCCGGTGTCCCCTTTTGCAAACAGAGTGACTTCAAGGTGCCTCTGGCGCGAAGTGGGGGGGGGTCTCTCTAAAAGCAGCAGACTGCCACGGAAAGCAGGGTGCAAGCCGGGAGGCTGGGAAGGACAACACCCCTGGCAGGTCACAGCAGCTCCGGCTTCCCCACATGTCTAGCACTGAGCGCCCAGCACAAGTCACTGAGCATCGAGCACTGAACAGAGCACTGCGCATCGAGCACTGAGCATCAAGCACTAAGCACCAAGCATCGAGCATGCCTGCAATGGCCACTGATGGAGACGGGGTGAAGTGTGCAGGGCAGGGCTGGACTGGGTGTCAAGGGTAGGTTTCTGTCTGGGTGCTCGGCAGAACACTGGCCAGACCCGCTCAGCCCCCGAGACCACGCATGGGGGACAAACACGCTGCTTTGTGTGTACGCAGGGGCAGAGGGGCAGCAGGGAAGGGGTCTGCGCGCCTGTGCCCACCCACCCCCACGTGGACCGGCGCACAGGGGAGGGCTGGGGAGGGCCGGGCTCCACACCTGGTTTATGTGCACGGCCGGGATGGAGGCGGCAGACACGGCCGAGTGGCTCGGGGAGTTGGGCAGGGACTTGCAGGGCCCGATGGCCAGCTGCTGCTTCTTCCGCAAGGCCACTACCTTCTGTGCCACTGTGGGGGACAGCGAGGTGAGTGACGCCGCCGGGGGGAGGGGGAAGTGAGAAACCTGCCTGGCGCCCCTCCTCTCCCGAGCCGGTGCTGGGCGCTCCTCCCGCCCAAGGCGCCCCGAGTTACCGTCCTGGAAGACGCGCTCCACGTTGAGCCCATAGGTGGCACACGTCTCGTAGTAGGTGCAGCGCTTCAGGTCGGTGGACAGCTTGCGCGCCCTGCTGTCGTCAATGACCCGGGGGTTGGCAGCGCTGATGGCGTCTGTGGGAGGAGGGAGGACTCACAGTCTGCCCGGCCATCTGGTCAGAGGGGCCGCGGGAGACGGGAGCCCAAGAGCACGGCCGTCTGGGCTCGGAGCGACCCTGCGACCCAGCGGAAACGAGCAGGCCGCCGGGTGCTCAACCCAGAGGCCGCGGCGGGCGGGGAGGACTTGTCGGGTCAGTGTCCGCTGCCCGCCCACCCCCACAGCTGCTCACCCTGCGTGCCCACCAGCACCATGGGCACCTCGCTGGCGTTCCGGAAGCTGCAAAGTCGCAGGAAATAGTTGTACACGGTCTGGAAGCTGATCTCATCCTCCAAGCTGAATACAAACACCACGGCATCCACCCAGGCAGCAAACTGGAGGCAGGGGGATGGGTAACATCAGCACCCTCACCTGGGCTCTGCGGAGCTCCCCACTCCGCCCAGAGCTCTGAAAAGGGGCATCCACGGCAGGGCAGGGCATCACCTGAAGCTCGGGGGGGCCTCCCTCATCTCGGATGAGCAGCAGGTAGCTCTGGCCGTCCACCACAATCTCTTTCTTAAACCGGCCGCCTGGAACAACGCGACAGGACACGGTGAGAAAGCCACATCCAGCCACATCCAGCCACGCCCCCGACCACGCCCACTATCGGACAAGCCACGCCCACCCCACCCAGTGACAGCTAAGCCACACCCAACCAGTCTTAACGAGCCACGCCCACCACACGTAGTCTCAACCAAGCCACGCCCACACCCTGCCGCATCCAAACCACGGACACCACACCCAGTGACAGTTAAGTCACACGCAACCACACCCCAGCCTTAACGAGCCACGCCCAGCCCCAGCCAAGCCACGCCCCAACCACGCCCAATCTCAGCCAAGCCACACCCACTATACCCAGTGAGACACCCAGTCTTAACGAGCCACGCCCACCACACCCGGTCTCAGCTAAGCCACGCCCCAACCACACCCAGTCGCATCCAAACCACGCCCACTGGACCCGGCTCAGCCAGGCCACGCCCCAACCACACCCAGCATCAGCTAGGCCACGCCCACCACACCCAGTGAGTTAAGCCACACCCAACCTTAACGAGTCAGCCGGCTCAGCCAAGCCACGCCCCAGCCACGCCCAAGCCAAGCCAAGCCACGCCCACTATATCCAGTGAGACACCGCCAGTCCCAAAGAGCCACGCCCATCACACCCAGTCCTAGCTAAGCCACGCCCCAACCACACCCAGTCACATCCGAGCCACGCCCACACCCTGTGACAGCTAAGCCACACCCCAACCACACCCACCCGCAATGGACCACACCCACCAGCCAGTCCCACTCAAGCCACGCCCATCACATCCAGTGACAGCTAAGCCACACCCAACCACACCCAGTCTGAAGGGAGCCACAGCCCATCACACCCAGTCTCAGCCAAGCCACACCAGCCACACAAACCTCGCCCCAACCACACCCAACCAAGCCCAAACCACGCCCAAGCTGCACCCACAACCACACCCAGCCACGCAAGCCCCGCCCAACCACAGCCAACCAAGCCCAGCGCACACCCATTTGGTACCCACACCACGCCCTGACACGGCTAGCCGATCCCCGCCACACCCATTCGCACCAGACCACGCCCCCCAGCCCAGCACTGGAGGCTGAAGAGGGGGCGGACGGGCCCACCAGCCTCAGCCCAGGCGCTCACCTTCAGGGGACTCCTCCTGGACATAGGTCCCGGTCAGATAGCGATGCACCAGCGCCGACTTCCCACTGGACAGGTTCCCTACAATGCCCTGCCGGAGGAGGCGGGGGACAAGAGGGGGTCAGAGGGCGGCAGAGGAGGGGCCCAAGGCGCAGAGTGCCCGGCGCACGCCCACCCAGGCCTCCGAGCCCCACTCACCACTTTGAGCTCAGGCACCGAGCGGCTGAGCGTCCACTCCTGGCTGTTCACAAAGGAGTCTGCAGAGAGAGGAGCAGGGCGTGAGGCCGGGGTGGTGGGGGGCACACCTGCTGGCCCGGGAAGGCGCAGCACCCAGGGGACCCCACGGGCCACCCTGCATCCCGGCGGGGCGAGGGAGGGGGAGGATGGCAGGTGCAAGTATCCTCCAAGGAGAACGACGACAACGGCACTGGGGGGCAGGCTGGGGAGCGGGCGGGGGCTGCCCCGGCCCGCGCGGGGGTCCCTCCTCCAGCCAGGGCCGAGGTCCCAGCAGACCCCACCCAGCAGGCGCCCCGCGGCCGCAGCCGCCAGCCCACCCCCCCCCCCCCTCCAGGCCGGCTCCGACAGGTCCGGCCCGGGCCCACGCCAGGCAGGGCACCTGGCAAGCAGCACGGCAGCGGTTCCGCGCGAGTCGGGACAGCTCCCCCGCCTGGGTGGGGCCACCCACCGCATTCCGGGCGGGGTGGGTGGGGGCGCGGGGGGCGGGGCGCGGGCCGGCCGGGCCTGCTGCTCCGGGGGCCGCCTCCCCGGCCGGCTTCTGCCCGCTCGGGACCACGCTCAACCCTGGGGCACTCACTCCCACCCGGCGCGGAGGGGGGGTCCCTGCCCCGGGAGAGAGGCCGCCGGCACCGGAGGGGCGCGGGGCGCGGGGCGCGGGGTGGGCTCGGCGCCCGCCACACCCCCACCCCGCGGTCCCGCCAGGGGGCGCCCTCCCGCGCCCCCCGACGGGGCGCCCCGCTTACCGGCGGGCGCGCCCAGGAGCCCGGGCGGCGCGGCGGCGCGGCGGCTCCAGAGCGGCTCGGGGGGCGCGGGCGGCGCGGGCGGCGCGGGGGGCGCGGGGTCCCGGCGCCGGAAGCGGCCGGTGAGCAGCTTCCAGAGGCCGGCGGCGGCGGCGGCGGCGGCGCGGGGCCGGCCGGGCTCGGGGCTGCCGGCGGCCGCGGCGCCCAGCAGCAGCGGGTCGCGGCGGCCGGGCAGCGCGCCCAGGGCCGCGGCGTCGCCGTCGCTGCGGGTGCGCGCGCGGGGCAGCGGCCCGGACTCGGCGCGCCGGATCTCGTGGCCGCCGCGGCGCAGGCGGAAGCTGAAGCTCTTGCGCAGCGCCGAGAGCCCGCGCCGGGGCCCCGAGCCGCCGCCGCCGCCGCCGCCGCGCGCGCGCAGCCCGGGCCAGCGCTGGCTGCTCCAGAGCGCGGCGCCCCGCAGGAAGCCGGCGCTGCCCGCGCGGCCCAGCCCGGGCGCCGCGTCGGCCGCCGCGTCCTCCAGGCGGTTCACCTCCAGGAACGTCATGCTGGCGGGCCGCGGGCGCGCGCGGGGCGCGGCGGGCTCCGGGGGGCTCCGGCGGCGCAGCAGGCCCAGCAGCGCGCGGCGGGCGGCGGGCGGCGGCGGCGGCGGCGACGGCGACGGCGGCGGCGACGGGCCGGGGGGCCCCGCGCACACGCTCCGCGGCCGCGCCGGCTGCTCGCGGGCGGCGCCCAGGGCGGCCTGCAGCGCGGCGGAGGCGCGGCCGGCCGGGGCGCCCTGCAGGTCCAGCGAGTCGCACACGCTCAGGGCGCGGCGGGGCCGCTCCGGGCCGCGGCGGTCCCCCGGCGGCCAGCCCCGCTCCATGCTCAGGGCCCGCGCGCGGGGGCCAGGCCCATGGCCAGGGGCGCGGCGCTGCGCCCGGGCCGGGGCCGCGGCGCGCGCGGGACCTCGGGGCCTCTGCGGGCGCCTGGCGCGGGGCCCCCCGCCCGACTGCCTCGACTCCTCGGCGGCGGCGGCGGCGGCGGCGCGGCCCCCGGCAAGCCCAGACCTGGCGGGGCGGAGAGAGGCGGCAAGCCCGGCCTGGAACGCCGGGAACGGCGGCGCGGCGCGGCCTGCCGGGGCAGCCCCCAGCCCTCGGGAAACTGGAAATTCCAGCCCAGGGCTCCTCCTCGCGCCTCCAGCCCAGGCCCGGCCGCCGCGAGCTGTCATTAGGCGCAGGCCCCGTAAATAACAGTCCTGCGCGGGCCCGGTTCGGGGCGGGGGAGCGGACCCCGGCGCTGTCCGGGCAGAGGCCCCCGGGGCCGCCTCTGGGGGGCCGGGGAGGACTGAGCCGCCGGGATGTCTCCGGCGCGGACAGAGCCGGGAGGGTCCGGAACGCGGGGCAGTGCCATCCCCCGGACCCAGGCCCCCAGCCGGGACCTCAGGGTCACTGAGCCGAGGCGGGGGTCTGGCACTGGCCCCCTGCGGCCCCCGCGGGGAGTCCCCCCAGAAAAGGCAGGTCCGGCCCAGGCTGGGGGTGCGGGCAGCTAACTGCTGTCCACTGCCGCCTCACGCAGTGCGCCCGAGAACCGTGCAGAGCCCGAGGAGACCCCGGGTATCCCGGGCATCGGGCGGGACAGCTTAGGCTGCGGTGACGGGCCTGTTCCCCCCGCCCCCCTTCCCTTTCCACGTCTGGAGATGAGGCCGGGCTGGAGCAGAGTGGCACATTCCAGAGGGGCTGGGCAGGGTGCCTGTGGCAGGGCTGCACCGAGTTCCGGAGCAGCCCAAGTGGAAACTCCCAAGTCCCGGGCTGGACCTGTCCGGGGCCCGGGGATCCGCAGGCACTCGGGTCCCCGCACACTTTCCAGCTTGCTGGCCCTTCCCAGGCCCTCTGCCCAGCGACAGGCCGGCCGCTGGGACTGACCCTCAATGCCAGCGCAGGCTCCTGTCTCTCTCTCTCTCTCTCTCACACACACACACACACACACACACACAGACCCCCAGCAGGGCTCCCCACAGGCCTGAGCAGACCCCCCGGGTAGGGGGAAGCCCTGCCCCCCCAGCGTGCATACACGGGCAGGGCCATGCACCCTGCATCCGTGCTCACCCACCAGGCGGTTCCGAGGTGCAAGAGCACCCCCTGTGGCCCAAGGGCCCACGGCTACCTCGGCGCCAGCAGAATCCCTTCGGGAAGATCTCCCAGAAGGAAGCCTGGGTCGCTCCCTCTCTGCCCCGCCACCCCCTCTCGCCCGCCCCAGGGAACCCTGACCAGGGGTCAGCGTAAGAAGCCAGGACAGGCCGCTTCTCAGGCGCGGGTGGGGTGCGGGTCTCCCCTCCCACGAGATCCTATCCCGCTCCAAAGCCTCCGCTCAGCACAGCCCCGGGGCCACGGAAAGGAAGAGGGAAACGGCCCAGCCCCCAGCTCTCACACTGCCAGCCGGGCCCTGTGGCTCAGGGCTGAGAGGCAGGACATTTCCGGGGCCCTGGGGCTGCGCTGTCCCTGAGGCCTACGGTGTGGAGGGCACCCCTGGCACGCGGCCCACCCGGGTTCTATCCTCAGCACCACCCTGGGTCCCCTGCGCCCCGCCAGGGATGACCCTGGGCACAGAGCCAGGAGAAAGCCCCGAGCACTGCCCGGTGCGCGCCCCCCCCCCCCCCCCCAGTACAAACAAACACAGCGCATCTGGGAGAACCCGGTGCCGGCCTGCCACTAGTCCACAAGGGTCCCTGGGGGAGGAGGAAACGCCCTGCGGGACCTGGACCCGGTGTCCCACCTCCACTTCACATAGGGTGTGCCCGGCCCAGGCCTGTGCCACGTGGGGCCCCCGGGATGGGGTCAAAGGATGGTTTCCTGCAGGTACCCGAAGGCCCCTGGGGTGAAGGACAGACCTCCCCGCCCCACCCCACAGGCAGGGCCCAGAGGCGCCTCCAGCCGTCCCAGCTCGTCCTGCCCACCAGGTGGCAGCAAAGCCCCTTCCAGCAGCGGCCGCTGTGTGGAGCAAGTGTCCCCAGGAAGAAGGCCTGTCCCCAGCGTCCCACCCACTGCTGGGCAGACCTTCGTCCATGCTGCCCTCTTTGCATGGACTCTCTTCCCAAGGGACACTGGTGGCCATGAAGGGGGCAGGAGTGGCCAGGCCAGGGTCAGTCTCTTCACACGTGCCCCGAGCACAGCAGATGTGGCCCTCGGAGCCAGCCACCAAAGCCATCTTCCTCTGATTTGGGTGAGCTGCTCGGGGTGGGCTGTCCCCATCAATCACATTCAGAGACCTTGGGTGGGGTGGGGTTGGGTTTGAGGGCCACACCCCGCGGTGCGCAGGGCTGACTCCTGGCTCTGTGCTCGGGGATCACTCCTGGCAGTGCTCAGGGGATCCGATGGGGTGTCGGGGATCGAACCCGGGGTGGCCACGTACTATCTCTCCGGGCCCTGCATTCAGAAATCTGAAGCCAGCCCCTGACACGCCCTTCTTCGGAAACTCCTCACAGAAGCCATGGGCCGAGCTGTGGCCCCACGGGAGGCGGCCCTGCATATGACCATGTGGACACACAAGCCAGGGGAGGCCAGCACAGGGGGTCTCCCCGCAGGCCCACCAAGCGTGAACCTCCCCGACGCCCAGGCTGGAGCCAAGAACAGCGGGGAGGGCGCCTGCCTTGCTCACGGCCAACCGGGTTCATCCTGGCATCCCGTATGTGCCCCCATCACTGTCAGGAGTGATCCCTGAGCACAGAGCCAGGAGTCAGTGCTGAGCACCGTGGGTGTGGCCCCAAAACAAAACAACCGAAACAGCAATAATGGCAACAACAAGCGGTCATCGGTCATCGTTGCGGGACTCTGCCCTCATCTCCTGGTGCCATGGATGGTGCCCGCCCCCGCCCACCCCAGCTCCCCACCGGGGCACCCGCTGAGTGGACCCCGGCACTGCCAGCCCCTCCCTCTGGGCCACCCACTATTCTTCCTGGTGGACTTCACTGTCTTACTTCCTCCGTCAAGGTCGCCTCAGCAAGGCCGGGTGCTGGAAGGCTGCCTGGGTCCCGACGGAGGACACCTGACCCGGGTGACGGCTTCAGAGACCGTCACCTGCTCTGCTTACAAGAACAAGCTGAGCGAGTGTCTCTCACCCTCTCTCGCCCCCTCACTCCTCTCTCTCTCGCTCTCTGTCTGTCTCTCTTGCTCTGTCTCTGTCTCTCTCGCTCTCTTTGTTTCACTGTTTTGTTTTGTTTTTTTTAGTTCAGGCCACACCGGGGCTGACTCCTGGCTCTGCTCTACTCGGGGTCCCTCCTGGGATGCCGGGCATGGAACCCGGGTCGG